AGGATTCACTTCATATCGCATCAAGTCTGGTATAGCCTGCCAGACGTCCACACTGAAGACTACCTGAATCTTCAGAAATCCCTCAAAGACAAGAAAGTGCCATTCAATCTTCTTCAGAATTCAAACTCCAAACCCTTCAAAGCCGTCATCAAATGGATCCCTCCCTCCGCCCCTCCCAAAGTCATACAAGAAGAGCTGCAGGCAATGGGATTTCTTGTCCAGAACGTCATCTTCATGACTGCGTGGCGAGACAAGAACCCATTGTCCATGCATGTCTTAGAACTGGAGAACATCCCCCAAACCCATAAAATATTAGAACTGAAGAGTCTATGCTAAATTAAAACCAAAGTGGAGCCATACAGGACTCGGACCGTCCCGCCTCAGTGCGCGCGGTGTCAACAATTCTACCACGTGGCGGCTAGCTTTCAATTTTTCTAGGCTCTTATGGAAAAAGAGGGCAGGCTTAACAAAAAGAAGGCCACGGGAAAACCCTTGCCCAACAGCCAGCCCTCCCCAGACCCCCAAGTTATAACAACAGAAACTTTCCGGCTATGCGTGTGACCAACGCCTGGAGCAGACCACTGGTCTTCAGCACCTAAATGGGTACGCCGACACATCAGTCCTTCGTGCAGCCAACCAACAATCCATTTCATTGCCAATTTATTCCGAATCAAGTCTTTGACCTCGTGGTATTAAACAACGTCCAATCTTACCATGATATCAACACCTTAGGCTTTCTGTCCTACTCAGATCATAAACCTGTCATACTAACAATAAGAGGCCCAGTTCAAACTCACCTCCCGAAAACCACGTTTGTCTATAAAGCCGCTAACTGGCAACTCTTCCAGTCTGTGGTTAACAACAACTTAAACACCGCACTCATAGCAAACAACGCGACACCTCCGGAAATAGACTACGCAGTCACCCACCTTACCAACGTGCTACAACTAGCCATCAATGAATCAGTTCCAAGCAAAACCAGGACCTCCAGTTCCATGCAAATAGTACTGTCGACACGACTGCTAATCCAGGAACGCAATAAATTGCGAACCACGTGGCAAAGGATGCACAACTTTGCCCCCGCATAAACGCCCTAATACACCAAATAAACGCGGCCATTAAAAATCAGCTAAACAACACTTGACAACGTAAGCTGCAAGGGCTAGACACCAGTAATAACGGGGATATTTGGAGAATTACAAAAAATTTAACAAACAGCACCACCTGCAACCCCCCTTGAAATGTAACGGTAGATTCGAGGTCACACATGACGAAAAGGTGAACCTCTTTGCAGACACACTATAGGACATTTTTACGACCATCACGCACTTAGACCGCGATTTCACTGATCAGACTGAGCACACTGTCAGGGATTTTCTAACCCAACCCCCCGCACCGTCGGTAAGAAAAACAAACTACAAAGAATTAGGCTGGATAATTCGCCATCTCAAATCGCGGAAAGCAGCTGGTTCCGATGGCATACAGAATATCCCCCACCAGCCCTCAAATTCATAGCCACGCTTTTCAACGCTTCAATAACAAACAACTACTTCCCGTCTCAGTAGAAGGTTGCAAAAATAATCATGCTTCCCAAGTCGGACAAGGTTCAGTCCTCACATGTCCTTACATGCCAATCAGTCTCTTAAATTCTCTGGACAAAGTGTTAGCGAAGTACCTCCCCTGAAGATCTTTGGAGCAACTATCCCCCGGGTAAATGAAGTCAAATATCTTGGCGTCATCCTAGACCGCAAACTCACCTACAGATCACATATAAGTAAAGCAGTTTGTAGAGCCAACCATGGCTCAGACAACTCTATCCAATCCTTAACAAGTCCTCCTCCATCAACATTAACCTAGCACTTACAATCTATAAAACTCTCCTACGCCCAATAATAACGTACGCAGTCCCTACTTGGAGATACGCGGCTAAAACACATTAGTAAGCTGCAAGTTTTTCAGAACAAGGTACTAAGAATTATCACGAAACTCCCAAGGGTAACGGCAATCGACATTTTACATAAGCAAACTGGCATGGAGACGTTCCGAAACCATGTCAGGAAGCTAGCAAATAAATTCTACGCTAAAAGTCGATTAAGTGAGAACTCCCAAATCAGGCAATTAGGTCAATATGACCCCATTTATGACAAACACAAGCGACCGTTGGCCCTA